GCATGTGGCAGAATCCAAGGGCTGAGCCCTCACAACTCAGTCTCCCACTGGAGCGTACTCTAGAGTGTGTGTGTGTGTGTGTGTGTGTGTGTTTGCACATGTGTTTCCACATTCAATTTTCTGGTCTCTCTTCAACAGAATCCTGCAATGCCACCTACGGTGTTCCCCAACCCAACCTATGTGAGTAGGTTCTCAGAGAAGGCAGGAGATTCCATTTGTGTGGGGCAGGGAGGGAGGGCAGGGCCAGTGGGGATGGTCCTCTGACTTGCATAATTCAAGGCAGTCCATTGTCAAGCTGATTTTAAAAGCATCCACATAAATTAGAAGACTGTCCAAAGGAGCCCTCAACTCTGACGTGGTCTCTTCCAGTGAGCAAATTAGGATTTTCCTTTTTCCACCCCGAGAACCCTTTGGTGTTGGCCAAAGTTCCTTCTGTGACATTTAAAATGACATTCCCCACTGCCTTGGGGAATGCTGGAAAGTTATCCTTTGGCTTGACTGAGCCAGGTAAAGATGTCCTAGGGCTCCTTCTGGAAGACGTCCTGCTCAAAGGCACAGTTCCAGACTTGGCTGATGGGACACATGTGTGGAAGTTGGTACAGGATTCTCAGGGGCAGGTGTGGCTCTCTGGCTGCTGCTGCTGGCTGACTTGTCCCCACCCTCCCAACAGCCGATGCCTTTCTTCACCAGCATCCCAGGGGGGCTGTACCCGTCCAAGTCCATCATGGTGTCAGGCACTGTCCTGCCAAGTGCTAAGAGGTAAGACAGGGCCTTCAGGGCTATCAGAATAAAGACCCCCACGGTCACTCTGGCCATCTCCCTGGCTCCCGACAAGTTGGGGATTGTGGGGAAGGGCTGGGTCCCAGAGTTCAGTGGACAGAGAGGGTCCATGTGAGTTGCCCCTCACCCCAGGTTCCACATTAACCTGCGCTCCGGGAGTGACGTCGCCTTCCACATGAACCCCCGTTTTGATGAGAATGCTGTGGTCCGCAACACCCAGATCAACAGCTCTTGGGGGTATGAGGAGCGAAGCCTGCCCCGAAAAATGCCCTTCACTCGAGGCAGGAGCTTCTCGGTACGTTGCTGTGGCCTCGAGCTCAGAGGGAGGGGCTCACAGGGGGCAAGGGGAGAAGAGGTGGAGGAGTCTGGGGGTACCTGGAACAGCATGGGCGCTGAAGCCTGAGGGATGAGGATTGCACCCCAAGGAAGAGAGAATGTTAACAGGTTATTATTATTTCCATGATCACTGCTCCCCCCACACATAGCAGGTGTCAGTGTCTGCTTTTCACATATGAGTAAAACAAACTCGCAGGACACAGGACACACGGCCGATCTGTGCCAAACGGAACCCAAGAATGAGGCCTGATTCATTTGCTCCCATCATTCATTCATTCATTGCTCCTGATTCATTCACTCTGCCATCACTTGCTGACCCCTTTATGGGGGCCACCTTGTAGGAAGTAGCCCACTTCTGTGGATGCAGCCACCAAGCTATCAGACAGGGTCCTGCCCCCACGGAGTTCACAGTGTAGATTGGGGAGGAAGAAGGAACGGTCATGAACCGGTCACTGCAGAGAAGGGACAGGTCCTTGCAGAAAGGGAAACTGATCATGGGCTGGAGGGAGCTGCCTGTGTCTTGCGCAGAGGCAAATGGGGTCCATCTGGAGCCTCAAGGGCAAGGGCTGCAGGGTGGAGAGCCAGGGCAAGAGAGGTACAGATTAGCTGGAGGCCTGACCACCCAGAGTGGGCCTTCTCCACCTTGACTCTGCAGTGGATTCACTCAGAGAGCTTAGAAAGACAAATCAAGGCCAGGGCCCCCACCCCAGGCCAGTGAGGCGATCAGCCTGGGCCTCTGTATTTTTAAGACACTCCCTAGGTGATACATCTGCAATCGGGGTTGAAAATGACTGGTGTGGGCCTTTGTGGGCCATGAAAGGGGCTTGGATTTTAATACAATGAGAAGCCATTGGAGTGTTTCAAGTCCGGGAACAATAACCTTGATTAGTGAGCTCTGAGACCTTTCGGAAATGACACAATGCTCTGCGTCTCAGTTTCCTCATCTATAACATGGAGTAATAATACTAGAGATCAGAGGACTGTAAGAATGGAATGAGACCAGATCTGTGCATGCTGAGGGCAGTGCCCAGCGCAGAGCAAGGGGGCTGTGCTCGCCATCGCCATGGGTGATGAGGTTTTGAGGTTTGTTCCCTGCCTGCCTCGAGGAGAGGCCTCCGGCTGTAAAGAATGTTAGGAGGCTGCTGCAGGAGTCCAGGCCCCAAGCCCTGAGGACACAGATAGCCCAAGATAGCAGCATCTCATCCCAACTGGAGAGTGGACTGGGGAGGCAGGTGGCTCGACAGGGAGTGGGTCAGGGAAGGTTTGGATCCTGGAGGGTGACAGGCAGAGGCAAAGGTGTGCAGGGTGGGAACAGCATTCCATGCTCAGGAAGGGCATATGCTAAAGTACCAGGGAAGGAGAGCGCATGGGTATTTATTGAGGAGCAGATATTACCGTGTAGCCAGCATGCAGGGGTGGGGCTTGTTACTGGCCAAGGCAGGAGGGAGGGAAAGAAGGAGATTCAAGCCCTGCGTTTAGGGCTGCTGATTTTCCAAATGGAAGTGACAGGGCCTCTCTGTCCAGGTATGGATCATGTGTGAAGGTCACTGCCTCAAGGTGGCTGTGGACGGTCAACACCTGTTTGAATACCTCCACCGCATGAAGAACCTGCCGGCCATCAATAACCTGGAAGTGGCGGGTGATGTCCAGCTGACCCACGTGCAGACATAGGTGGGCTCCCTGGCCTGAGGACAGGGCTGGGATGTGGTGCTGAGTTTCCTCATCATCTCCACTCCCCTGTCTCAGCTCCAGCCTCCTGGATGCTACCATGCAAGCAGAGGGTGTTCAGAACTGGTGAAGCTGTGTTCACCCCCCTCAGCAGACACGGAGTCTCTGGAGCCTCCCAAGCACCCAGTCCAGGCCTGTGTTGAATGTGGCACATTCCTGTCCCAGGTCAACTCCAGTTCCCAGCCAGAGCTATGCACTCCCTGCAGGGAGGGGACCTCCTCAGCCCCACCCCCCTTCTCTGACCCTTACTCTCTTTCCTTCTCACCTGGCACCCAGCTCAGCCCCCCACCCGTCCAGGAAACTACCCTGATTCCATCCCCCAAGGCTTCCACCAACTCTCTTTCCCAGGGGAAAATAAGGAAAATGAAGGAATAAAAATGGTTGTTGGGGAAGACCGTGGTTTATTAAATGTGTCTGGAGACACTTGGGAGTCTCTGGAACTGGAGGTTCCTGCCCAGGGAGTGGGAGAGACAGTGTGGGCTCCCTTTGGGAAGGGGGATCCTGACATCCACACCTACTCACAGTGAGTCCCTTGCAAACCCCAGGAGAGAGCTGGGGAAAGCAGGAGGACATGGAATTCTTCCACAGGGGTCTCTGGACCTCAGCAGCTGGGTGAACCTGGAAAACAGCTCCATGCTTCTGAGATGGAAGAAGGGCTGGGACAGAGCCTGTGGGGGCCCCCCCGGCAGAGCCTCATCAGAACCTTGTGCCCAAGTGAGAGGAGGAGGCAGGCGGGACAAGAAGCTGATTCCAAAGCTGTCCCAGTCATGATGTGCAAGAGGGAAATGGCTCAGTATCTGGGGATCTGCCGGCCGCTGGGCAGCAGAAGGGAGCCCAGCTGGATGTCCAGGTGATGCCCTTTTACTCTGCACACTCCATCAGAACCCAGCACCAGGAGCCAAGGTGGGGCTCAAAGAGTGTTCAGACCAGCGGGCGCCGACATGACCTGGGAGCTGATTAGAAATGCAGCACCTTGACCTGGTGCAGTGGTGCATGCTTGCAATCCCAGCAGCTTAGGAGCCTGAGGCATGAGGATTTCGAATTCAAAGCCAGCCTCAGCAACTTAGCAAGGCCCTATAACTACATAAAATACAAACAAGGGATGAAGATGTGGCTCAGTAGTTAAGTGCCCTGGGTTCAATACCTGGTACCCCCCCCCAAAAAAAAAAGCACCTCGGGCCCCACCCAGACCTACTGTATCAGGTCTGCATGTTAACAAATCCCGGGTGACTCGAGTGTACATTAATTTGTGAGAAGCCTTTGGTCTAGGCCACTGCACTCTGGGCAACTAGACTTTGGGAAGCCCCTTTCCCCCATCCCCCACCTCCATGAGAGTAGCTGCCACCAGAAGTGGCAGGAGAGGAGGGGAGAGAAGGTGAGGGAGCCCATGAAGCAAGGGCCAAACTGAAGCCGAGAGCAGGATTTCTCTAGACCACCACTTGTCCCCAACTGCGACCTTTTTGTGGTTCTGACCAGGAGGAGATGCAGCTCTGTCGCTTAAGAAGCTCCCCTGGGTCAGGAGGCTGAGGAAGGAGGAGTGCAAGTTCAAAGTCAGCCTCTGCAACTTAGTGAGACCCTGTCTCAAAAGAAAAATAAAACAAACACCAGGTCTGGGGGTGTGGCTCAGGGGTTAAGCACCCCTGGGTTCAACCCCTACCCCAAAAGAAGCAGCTCCCTGGCTGGCTTCAAATCAAGAAAGGACCACAGTCTCCCAGGAGGGGCAAGGGTAATGCATGCCCTTACCCTCCACAAAGTCTTCCACAACCAGGAAACCTCACCTGCTTTCCCCATGTGCTAAATCACAAGTGGCCAAACAGGTGGCTACAGAACAAACCCCTTCCTAAGACAGGGTGAGGGTCCAGGCCTTTGCTAAAATCCTGGCACTCTGTGCATAATCCCGCTGCTCACCACACCTTTCATCAGATGCTTTCTGGGTGAGATACAGCTCCAGCCCCTTGCCTGTGCCCTGCATCCCCAGCACAGGTGGGGATCTTTGTCCCTGTGTGGGACACATCAGTCCTTCTCCATAGGATTTAGATCTGCTTTCCTTACAAAACAATCCCCCCTCCAAACACACACATACATATGCAGGTTGGTTAAAATAGAACACATTTAATATAAATATTATATTAAGGAATCACAGAGGAAAGGTCCAAGGGGCTGCTGCGAGTGGGGTTGGGGGTTGTTTTTTTTTTTAAATACGGAGACATAAATAACTGTACACAAGGCAGCTAAATACAGAGTGTTGTGGTAGCGCCTCCTGGTGGCCACTTACAGTGCTGCAACCAGAATAAGGTTTCCCCTTTTGCACACCCCTCTTGCCAGGCCTGGCTCAGGGACTGAACCTCCAAGGGGCCAGCGAGGCCCCCCACCCCTACCCCCCGCACTCCATTGCCCAAGGAAGGGTGGGCTCAGAGAGAGTGCTGGCTCCAAACCAGCCCAGGATGCTACTTGGTAGTAGGTCAAGTAGAAGGATGGTGGAACTAAGAAGGGCTTGGAGAGATGGCTGTTTTCCAACTCCCCAGGACATTGTCCTCAGCTTGAGAGTCGACTCAGTCCTTAAATTCCACGCCAGCAGCTTTCACTGCTCCAGTGGTCGTCAGAGGCCTGTGTTGGGCTGTCCCGCGGCCCTGTCCTTTTTCACCTCGTAGGGAAACACAGCACCAAAGACATCTTCATGATAGCGCTTCTGGCTCTTGAAGAGAAACAGGGGCCACGAGGTCAGCCCTGCTGGCCCAGCCACCCCCCCACCCCCCACTCACCAAGCCCTGGCTCCTCTGTGACACGGAACAGGCCAGCAGGAGCCCTTTGGTGTGGAGAGTGCACTTGGATCTGGTTTATGCCCCCCCAGCCCCATTAGCGCCTGCTCTGGGGTGAATCCTCTCAACATCTCCTGAAGCTCTGCAGGTGGACGCCATTCCTACTTCCTGCCTAGTGTTCGTCTCATGAGATGCCCCAGAAGGTGGCATAAGTCTGAGATAAGTCTGGGTGGGAAATACGGTGCACTTTCTCTCCCCTCCTCCACCCCAGTCTTGAACTGTCATGATACATCTGATGGTACACCAGTGTGTTTGCCTTTGTTTAACTGAGCATGTTCTAAACTATCTGACCCTGGAATCTACCAACTCTGAACACATTTTGGGAGACATTTGTGGGGTCTTGCTGTTCTTCACACACATATGCTAATGCCACCCCAGGACCTTCATGCATGCTGTTCCCTGAAGAGCAGCCTAGAATGCCATCTCCCTCCTTACCCACAAGGCTTCTTCCTCACCTGCTTCAGGTATTTTCTCAACTGTCACCTTCCAGTGACATCTTATTTAAAACAATAGGCCCCTAAGTCTCCCTCAGCAGCCTCCCTGATGCAGTATCCATTATGCATGTTCTGTTGTATCAACTCTTCTAGAATGTTCCATCCAGGCAGGGATTTTTGCTTGTTCTATCTACTGCTGTATCCCTATCACATAGTAGGTGCTCAAACATGATGAACATAAGAACGTGTCTTAGGAAGAGTATGGAAGTGGTGAGCACAGGCTTTGGGGCCAGAGACAGAGTCTTAGGCTTTTAGCTTCACTGTTGTGGACCCCGAGGCCCCTCCCTCTGTAAAATGGGGGTGTAAATGTGCCTCCCTCATGAAGCCCTTAGAAGGAAACGCCTCATGGGAATCCTCCATAAGCACCTGGCCCCAGGTGGGCCCCTGATGAACACTGTGGCTGTTACCATCATAAAGGGAGTGTCCTTCCCACTGGGGGCTGAGGACAAGCAGACAGCATCCTGGGTGTAAATAACAGGTGCTTCCTGCATAGGAGGCTGCCAAAGGGGACAAGTTTCCTACCCGGTGTTTGTTACTCTGCTCTGGCTACACAGCTGCTCTCTGAAAGGGGCCTGGAGAGAGGCCAGAGAGGTCCTCCTGCTCCCATTCCACACATGGAAAGACAGAACTCGTGGACCTGCCTTCTTAAAGCTGACAGGCAACCACACGGGGGGGGGGGGGGGGTAGAGTTAGGCTTTCCAATAGCCCATCTGGACTGCTCTAGGGTTCCTTTGGGGCCCAGGAGTGTTCTGAGATTCTACTGGTCCTGTTGCCCTGGTCCTAACTCCTCCTGCAGCCTGGACCCTTGACTACACAGACCCACACATCAGCACCCCATACCTTGAGCTGGAAGAAATAATCCTCAACCTGCTCTTCACTTAAGCTCAGCTTGGCGGCCACCAGCTGTTTCAGGGTGTGGGCCACATCTCGGGCCATGCGCACATCCCCACAGACATAGAGGTGGCCCGGGGACTCATGCAGCACGCGGAGGACCTCGCCAGCCAGCTGCTGCCGCAGAATGTCTTGAACATAGACCTGAAATCAGAGGAAACGGTGGGTCCAGTCCCTAGCCCCTGGGAGAGAGGCTGGGGGTCAAGCCTGCTGTCCCCCGTTAGGGGAGATAGGGATGTCAGGGGAGTAAGCACCCTCCCAGGCAGAACCGTGGCTCAGTATGAGAAGGTACACTGACACCTAGCCCAGCCCAGGCCAGGGGGCCCCCCGGATATTCTCCAAATTGATCACACTTCAAAGAGGCATCAATCAAGTCAACCCCCTGCCCAGGGCTCTGAGGCCTGCCTGCCTACATTCTAGAAAGGGCAGCCTCCTCATGCCCAGGTTCATTGATTCGAAGCTGGGGTGCAGGTTTCCAGGCTTCCCAGTCACACAGAGGGTTCAGGAGACAATCGGGATTCTGTATTTGTTCCACATCAGATGTCCAGTGGGCCCCAGAACGGGGTCCAAGAGGAGTCTTCAGGAACAAGTTCATGACTGCTGAGCCAAAAGTTTATCCAACTCCCCAGGCTCCTGGGGCCCAGTGCAGTAGCTGCCATCTAACCTTGTCAGCTGGAGTGTAAACCAGCTGGTTTCCAGTGTAAACAGCTCTCCCTGGGCAGCCACGTGTCCCAGGGGGCTGCTGGGGGTCTTCAGCAGGCTGGGCTCTGGGGATTAACCCATAGTGTTACCCTGAGTTGATCCTAAACCTCTCTGGGCTTGTCTCTTCTCCTGGACTACAGGGCACAGTGCTCTCCACAATGTCACCCTGATGGGTGTGTGTCTCCACTTTCCAGCTGAGGAGATGGAGGCTCAGGGGGCCAGGGTGTCCACTCACCGCCGCACTTACCTTGGGCTTGCCGGGCAGCCGAGAATAGGCTGTGTGCACCTCATGCAGCACCCCCTTCCGGGCCATCTCCAGCATCTCCTCCCGATACAGGTGGTCCTCCTCTGGGTGGCGGCACCCAAACACGAGGGTCATGTGGCCTCTCTGGAGCCCTGCAAGACCCAGGAGGCTGCAGTTACCAGCACGGCCACCAGAGGGCAGATCACAGCTCAAAGTGACCAACTAGAAATCTCTTCAAGGGTCCTGTCTGGTATAATCTCCATTTTACAGATGAGGAAACAGAGGCCCAGGACATAACTGGGCACACAACTGAAGTGCAGGTACAGGAGTCCGTCCAGCTCACCAAAGGTCAAAAGTGGGTATTTCCCCCATTATTCCCTGAGAAATAATGCACAGGCCAAGGCAAAGTCTGGAGGAAGGTCTTCCTCTGGACAGGGGCCAGGAAACATCTGTGGGGTGGTGGCAGAGTTCTTCTAGGCAGGTGGTGGCCACCTAATGCTGTACCCCACACAGGAACCTTCAAGCTGTACCTCTTTAGGGTCTTATTTTATTTATTTGTTTTTCAGTACTGAAGATTGAACCCTGAGGCGGTTTACCATTGAGTATGTCCCCAGTCCTTTTTATTTTTTGTTTTCAGACAGAATCTTGCTAAGTTGCAGAGGCTGGCCTCAAACTTGTAATCCTCTTGCCTGAGTCTCCCAAGTAGCTTGGATTACAGGTGTGAGCTACTATGTCCGGCTTTCTATTTTATTTAATTTTTTTTTTCAGTATGAGGTATGCAAATCAGAAGATAATGAAGGGCTGGGTGCAGTGTATGCACCTGTAATACCAGTGGCTCGGGAGCCTGAGGCAGGAGGATCACAAATTCAAAGCCAACCTAAGCAATGGTGAGGTGCTAAGCAACTCAGTGAGACCCTGTCTCTAAATAAAATACAAAATAGGGCTGGGGATGTGACTCAGTGGTGGAGTACCCCTGCATTCAACACCCAGTGCCAAAAGAGAGAAAAAAAAAAGAAGAAGATAATGATGGCAGTTTTTCAAGATCACACATTCATCTGGGTGCAATAATGCACACCTATCATCCCAGTGGCTTGGGAGGCTTAGGCAGGAGGATCACAAGTTCAAAGCCAGCCTCAGCAACTTAGTGAAATCCTGTCTCAAAATAAAATGTAAAAAGGGCTGGGGATATGGCTCAGTGATTAAGTGCCACTGGATTCATTCAGTCTCTGGTACCCCCCTCCCCCACCAAAAAAAATCACACATTCAATACCAATCCTAAGCCAATACATTGTTCTTTTTTGTTTTGTGTGTGTTTTTTCTTTTAAAATATGCGTGATTATCATCCAATTCATGGAGCACAGTGTGATACTCTGACACTTGTATACAGTGAATAATGATCAAATCGGGATCATGAGCATTGGCTAGGCCTCGTCGTGGGCTATACCTTTGTGCTCAGAGTCATGGAGCCGCTGCTGCCAGAAACTGCGGAAGGGCGCGATGCCTGTGCCCGGCCCAATGAGGATGCAGGGATGGGAGGGGTCCTCGGGCAGCTGGAAACTGCTGGCACTGAAGGGAGACAGAAGAAGAGAGGCCTCATCCTCAGACATCCTGGGCTGGTGCAGGTGCAGGACAGGGGCTGGGATGCTGGGCGTGTGGCCAGGAGGTGGTGTTGGGGATGGAGGAGAAGAGCTCCAAGTCGACTTCCTGCCGGCCACCTCCCTTGCCCTGTCCAGGCACATCATCTCCCCACCCAGGAGCCTTCTGAAAAGACCTGACCCCACTGTACTCTGGGCACCTGCTAGAGACACAGCCAGGGGATAAAATGGGGAGGCCCAGTGTGGCCTCAGTACTTTCTCGGTACTGGACCAAGTGGCCCAGAGGGGCACCTAACCCCCGATCTCTCTCTCTCATCCCAGGACACCCAGAGGTCAGTGGTCCCACAGGGATGGGAGGGTGTTTACCTTCGCACAAAGCAGGGCACTGGGTCCTGGGGCATCAGGCTGCTGAGCCACGTGCTGCAGACGCCATGGTGCAGTGGACCCTGGCCACCTGCAATGACAGAACAGACCTGACCATCATTCCCCCTCCAGCCCGCAGGTGACCCTGTCAGCTGCTCCTCCCACACTGACGCACCCCCTTGGGCTGGCCTGCCCACTCAGACGCTCTAAGGGCTGAATGAGGGGTTGTGTGTCTCTGGTTCTGGGGTCCACCCTCTACACATCCAGAGCTGGGAAAGGCTGCCAAGGACTTGGCAGGCAAGGTGCCCCTTTTACCTCTCAGAAACCAAGTCTCAGAGAGGGAAAGTGGCTTGACAGGTTGCTCAGGTGGTGGATGGCTCTGGGTCCCTGTTTCTTACTCGATTGCTTCTTCCAAGAGTTTCTCCAAGGACCCTCCCAGTCCCCAATCAGCTTGGAGATGGCCACTGCTGGGTGTGTCCTCGTGAGGGTAGCCCTTGCAGGTATAGCCTGGGTGCAGGTATAGCCGCTCATCCCACCTGTTCTGATGTCACTCTCTTTCCTTGTAGTCCCTCCTGACCTTCTGACCCTAGGACTGAGACCTGGTCCATGGGGAGCTCTCTGGTGGACTGACACAGCCTCTGTGAGCTCTTAGAAGCTGTGTGACTATTCTTCACAGAGGATGGAGGGCTCCCAGGTGTGGCCGGATCCCAGCTTGCCACCACAGACAATGCTGAGTGACAGGGGGCAGGGCAGGGGGCCAAGTGTGTCCAGGGGAAGAGCCAAGACCACAAGGGATTGGCCTCCCCATGAGCTCCATCATGGTCGCCTGCACGTTCCTTCTTGGCTACTTAATCCTAATCTCTCATTATTTCCATGCCTGTCTCTTCTTTGGCTCTCCAGATACTCCATGAGCACAGGAGCTATGCCTGCTGCGTTTCCACACCCACCATGGTGCCCAGCAGAGAAGTGTGACATAAGCCGTCCCTGAATGAGTGGAGTGAATGAGTGACCAACCAAGTCAGAACCACCCTGAGCTCAGGCTGACTCTCGGGGACTAAGAATCACTGGGCTCCCACTGAGTGTTGGATGGTCTCCCCATGTGATCTCATTAACTTGTCTCAAAGTGCTGAAGAACCAGGATTCAGCAATTTAAAAAACTGGGTTTGAATCTCAGCTGAGAACTTACTACCTGTGTGACTTGGATCAGTGGCTCAGCTTCTCCTCCCCTGTGGAATGCCCAGTACCTCTCTCACCTGGCTACTGACCCTAGTGATTCAAAGCGGTGAGCTTAGCGCCTGCTCTGTGGTGATCTCTTCCTCACACCCACGAGTATGATTGACAACTCTGGGAGGGGGCGGGGTTACCACCCTGTTTAACTAATGAGACCAAAACTCCGAGATGTTGAAAAGCTGCCCCAGAAGCAGGAGAGCTGCGCCCTTCACCTTGGGTGCGGTAAGTGACCACGGCCACGGTGAGGTGGACCTCTGTGGGTGTGTGGTCCCGGGAGGAGCTGATGGAGTAGTAGCGCGGTTTCAGAAGAGGGAGCTGGGAGAGCAGGAAGGCAGCCGGTACCCGCAGCGATGGGAACTCCTCCAGCACCTCCAGGAACGTGGGGCTGTTGGTGGACTTCCACTTGTTGTATTCTGAGGGCTGAGAGTCAAGGGCAGGGTGAGGACTCAGGGTGCCTGCCCCGCCCCGCATTCACCAGTCAATCCCGCAGCGTGCGCTGTCCAGGGTGCTGAGACTCCCAACCTGCAGAGGAAGCGCTCCCGACCTGGAGCAGCATTTGTCTAACTGTGTGCCCAGAACTCTGCTGTGGGCAGCTCAACTCCATTGCGATCTAAATAGGGGCAAGGCTTTGGAACCAGTTAGATCTGGGTTTGAATCTTGGTCAGGCACCCTTCCAAGCTATAGAACCATCCCCCTTACTTAACCTTTGTGAAGCAAGGACAGTGTCACTGCCCACGTGGGAACATTGTGAGAATTAAATGAGATGGCATGGGTCAAGTCAGTACAGCACAGCTGGAAAGTACAGTAGTGGGAGGGTTGGGATAAAGATGATTAGCCACATTGAGGATGATGATCACGATGTCTGGTGACTCTTAGCAAAGACTTGGGCCCAGAAGCTGCAGGTGACTTAATGCATGCTCTCATTAAGGTGCTAATTCCGCTCTCTGTCACTGCATCACTTATCCATTCGTCCACACCACCCCTCCTCCCAGGCTTCTGAGTGCCATGTTTTGAGAGGACAAGGACAAGCAAGACATGGTGGATCCCCTTTCTAGCTCATTCCCAAGGAAGTGCACTTTGGCTACATCCTGCTGACACTGAGGAAAAATTCAGTTTATTCCACACAACTGTGTCCTACAACAGGGATGGCAGACAATGTCTGGCTTCCCACTAGCCCTTGACAAGTCTCGCCTTGGGAATCTGGGGAGATCCTCTTGAAGGTTAAAGACCCACTCTGGGAACTTCCCCTGCCTCACCCACCAACCCTGACATTTACCTGGCACAGGGTCTCCAGCCTCTGTCTCTCAGACTCCTCTGTGGCCAGCCTGGCCAGTTTTTGGAGCTGCAGAGGGGTTGGGGGTGTGGTGATGTCCAGGAAGTAGGTGAGGGCCTGGCTGATCGAGCAGGGGGGCAGCCTCTTGTCCCTGATCCAGCTGCCTGCAGAGGGAAGGAAGGGCATCAGGAGAGGGAAATGCCCCACCTGGGTTTCCCGGAAGGTGATGGGACTCTGGGAAGACACACTCTATGCTCCAGCTGCAGGGGAGAAAAGAAGGTGGTACCCAGAGATAGGGCTGCCAGGAAAGGCCGACTCTCGGGGGACTAACAGTCCTTCAAGAGGCACCCAAAGTGATATGATCCTGACGAACTAACCATGTCCTTCTCTGGCCTACACCTGTACATTAGCAAGATATCGACAGTGAACTACAGTCTCCCACTGGCTAAATTCCACAAGAGACTGACCTATAGCCCAGAGGCCTGTTGTTCATTTAGAGAAAAACTCATGACCACCATGCCCTTGGGTGTTATACCAAGAAGTGCTGGCTAAGCAGAAGATTAGCACAAAGTGAGATGGCAAGGGTGAAGGAGTCCCAAGGGGCAGTGTGCAGGGTAGTCACAGCATGGATCCTGGGGCCAGCAGACCTGGGTTCAAACTCTGGCTCCCTGTTTCCTGTCTGAATGACTGAACCGTAGGGCTCTGGGTTTCTTCCCTGAGAAATGGATATGATGACAAAAACCTATCTCACTGAGCTTCTACGAACATTGAATAAAATCAGGCGTGTAAAACAGTTGATACAGTGCCCTGTACACAGGTACTCGATAAATGTTGGTAAAGATTATAATTATTATTATTATTTCATCTGGGCCAGAAGTCTGATGAACCACAGGGCTTCTCTGGCTCTCCCCTTTTCTCCTGGACAGGGAGAGATGGGGGCCGGCTTTGCTTCTCTGACCCCCCACTTTCCTATCTTGGTCTCTGTGCTTAGAGGGTATGTCCTTTGGTGGTATCAGTAACCCCGAGGACACTAAGGCCAGGGAGCTATTCCTACAGGCCGGGGCTGGGGTAGCTGGCCTGGGGTAGGTAG